GACGTTTTTGCCTTAGGGTACATGTGCTCACCTGAGAGAGAGAGAGACAGAGACAGTGAGAGGAAAAGTAAGAAATCAGCCCCCGGGGAAAATGGCCATACTACAATCTCTTCTCCTCCACTATCCTTCCAGGATCTTGGACACATACATATACACATGCACCCAGCTTGATTTTAAAGCCACTGGATCCGGGACTTGAACCACCATCGGCCATGTGGGCATCCAGCGACATAACCACTATGTCATCTGCTGGCCCCAACAGTTGAAATCTTAATAGATTGGTTTCAAACTCTTACAAACAAATTCATAACCTCAATAAAACCTTGTGATGGCATACATGGATTTTTGTGATGAAGTTTCAAGTTTAGAATTGAGTCAGTGTTAAGAAGACCCAGCCATGAGCCAGCAGGTAGCATGGGGGTTAAGGTGCTGGACTCCCATATATCCAACCACAACTTGAGTCCTGGATACAGCAACTTGAAACTCAGACTGGGCACACATACGTGCATGCCCCAAATCCTGAGAGGAGAAATACAGGAGAAGGGACTGTGGCATTGCCATCCCCCTAGGGATGATTTCTCACTTTCCCTCTCACTGTCTCTCTTTCTCTTGAAAGTGTACATGCCTTATGGCAAAAAATTTATTTAAAAAAAAGAAGAACAAGAAGACCCAGCCATGGTGGCACAGTGGTAGGGCAAAACTATGTGATGCTGAAAGCCACATGGAAGATGTAAGTTCGGTTCCTAGGTCACCCTATACATACCAAGTGCATGCACCTTCCTCTGATCCTGGCTGGCTGAAGAGCTGGGGGAGATCACAGAAAGAGACTCTATTGAGAATAGAGTCTTTTTCTAATGAAAGAATATTAAAGAAAGGAGGCAGGACCAGCAGGTGGCATCACAGTTCCATCACTGGACTCCCATAGAGTTGACCATGGTTCAAGTTCCAGACCTGGTGGCTTAAAACTCAAGCTAGGTGTGTGTGCATGCATGTCCAAAATCCAGAAAATGGAGGAGAAAGGATTGTGCTCTGTCCATCCTGCAAGGTGATTTCTTGCTTTCTCTCTCTCTGTCTCTCTTTCTCTCCCTGGTTAGCACATGTGCCCTATAGCAAAAATCTCTCAAATAATAAGAAGAAGAAAGAAAGAAAGAAAGGAAGGAAGGAAGGAAGGAAGGAAGGAAGGAAGGAAAAGAATAAGAGAGGAGGAAAATATTAAGGGAAACAATACCTGTGGCACCCAGACCTGGAAAAAACTAAGATGAAGGTTAACTACAAAATTATGGGGGACCAGCAGTTAGCGTAATAGCTATGTCGCTGGACTCCCATGTAGTCGACCGCGGTTCGAATCCCGGGCCCAGTGGCTTAAACTCACACCGGACACATGTGCGTGCGTGCTGAAGATCCCAAAAGGAGAATGGAGGAGAAGGGATTGCGGCATGGCCATCCCCTCTGGAGGGTGATTTCTCGCTTTCTGTCTCTCTGTCTCTGTCTGGCGAGCGCATGCGCCCTTATAGCAAAAACCTCTCCAAAAAAAAAAATTATGGAAGGCCCACATTAATTCATGTTTTCAGCCAAACTTCTTCCTAAACTGAGACTGAGATTGATTCTCACTCAAATAATAGCAAACATTCTTTCTCAGATACATTTTAAGCTGATGAGTAAGATTAACCCCTAGTCCACACATGTGACCAGCCTCTCTGTAATGATGATTCCTATAAAATGTTACTATCTTTAAGCTTTCCATTTCTTGCTCTGGATTTTCTTTTCTTTCTTTCTTTCTTTCTTTCTTTTTTTTTTTTTTTTTTGGAATGATTTATTTCTTTGTATTTATTCTTATTTTTTTAATTTGACCAGAGACAGTCAGAGAGAGAGAAAAGGAAAGTGAGAAAGCAAGCCAACAAATCAGGAACTTGTACCGTGGTTGGCCATGTGGGAGTCCAACGCCTCAACCACCACACCCCCTGCCAGCCCCTCTCTGGTTTTCTTCATTTTTGCTTGTCTTCTTTCTTTCCTACCCCTCTCAAGCACACATATGAACACAGACCCTGGGGCATACACAAATGGACACACATTCTGGTAACTTCTGCTGACCTGAACAAGGCTTGCTTGCCTGTGTGATATTCATGACATTTTTGGCATTAAAAAAAAAAAAACAAAAAAAAAAAACCAAAAACACATTATGACTTTCCCGACAACTTCACAGTTTAAAAAAAAAAAAAAAAAAAAAAAGGCAGTGATGGGCCAGCAGATGGCGTGGAAGTTAAGGTGGCTGGATCCCACTTGGCTGACTGCAGGGGTCCAGTTCTGCACCTGGTGGCTTGCAAAATATACCAGGTACATGTGCACATGCCAGAAACTCCAAGAGGAGAATGGAGAAGAGACTGCAGCATGGCAATCCCCCTGGGGGAATGACTTCTCACTTTCCATCTTTCTCTCTGTGTGTGTCTCTTTGGCAACTGCACATGCCCTATAGCAACAAGTTAAAAAAAGAATAAAACTGTTATGCTTCCAAAGGCTCAGAGCACTCACAGTGTGACTCATACTTTCTTCTTCACAGAGCTCCCATTCGTGATAGAAAGAATAAGGTATAGTCAGTTGCCTGTACTTTTTGTTTAAGTTTCTTGTCATAGAGCACGTGCGCTCACCAGAGAGAAACAGAGACAGTGAGGGGCGGGCAGCAAAATCAGGCCACGATCCCTTCTCCTCCATTCTCTTCTCGGAATTTTTGGCATGCACATATACATGCCTGGTGTGAATTTTAAACCACTGGGTCCAGGACTTGAACTGTAGTTGACCATATGGCAGACCAGTGCCTTAGCCACCACACCACTTGCTGGTCCCTAAAATTTTAGGATTCTATGCTGACAGGTTTTCTTTTTTTCCATTGCTTAAAGATGTCATTCTATTACCTTCTTGCTCCCGCTGTTTAAGGAATAAGTCCTATGTATCAATGTTCCCAGCATGTGATATGTCACTTTCTTCTGGCTATGTTCAATAATTTTTCTTTTTCTTTGACTTGTATTTACTATATAATAGTACATCTACTAAATGTGTCCCATTTCTTTACAAATAAACAAAGCTGAATTTACTCAGGATAAAATTAGGATGATCACCTGAACACACATCATTCAAGTTATTGTGCATGATGTATGTCCCCAAATGTGATTGTGTTTATCCTGCCCAGATTCGGTATGCCCCATGATCTATTGATTTGTGTTGTCCAGCAAATTTTGGACCTTTTTAAAAATTTTTTCTTCAAATATCACTTCTTCCCCATTTTCCTCTTCTCCTTGAATATACTTAAATATGCATTAAGTCAAGGCCAGCAGGTGGCATGGTGGTTAAGGCACTGGATTCCCACATAGCTGACCATGATTCAAGCCTCAGACCTGGTAGCTTGCTTTCTCACTTTCCCTCTTGCTCTCTCTCCTGTGAGTGTACATGCCTTATAGCAAATTTAGAAACAATAATAAATAAAATTAAATAATTCTTTTAAAAATGAATTAGGTCTTTTGATTTGCTATCTGATTACTAAAATTATTTACTTTAAGCCTTTCCTCCTCTGCTAGATTGGACAATTTATATTAATTTTCCAAATTCATGTACCTTCAAACTCCAATGTGATATTGGGCCCATTTTTTTTTCAGGTATTTAAAATTTTAGTTACACAATACTCATTGTATTCCTTTTTACTTTCCATTTGTTTCTACTATCCGTTTACTCATTATGACTATATTTTTCTTTAAGTTCTTGAACATCTATATATAAAATACATGCTTTTGAGTCCTAAGTCACTAATATGGATATCTCAAAGTTAGTTTCTATTAACTATTTTGTTTTTCTGAGTATGCCATACATTTTTCTATTTCTATACAAGCCTCATAATTTATTGATGGTAAAGCATTGCAAATGAGACATTACAGAGATCAGGTTCTGTTGTTAGAAGAAGACTTGGATACCCTGTCACCCATCTTTCTGCTTTTACAAATTACAGAAAGGAACCTACGATTTACCGACTGCACACAGTAAGTATAAATAATGGAGGCAGAACTGAAAGTACAAGCCAATCACCTGACTGAGCTCAGTATCTTCCTAACTTCCCCTTTTTAAAATACTTTCCCTAAATGTATTCCTTGGGGATATTATTTTATTTATTTCATTTTTTAGATATATTTTTGCTAGAGGGCACATGGGCTCACTGGAGAGACAGAGACAGAAAACAAGAAATCATCCCCAGGGAGGATGGTCATGCCACAGTCCCTTCTCCTCCATTCTCTTCTCAGGATCTTGGGCACTCATGTACATGTGCCCGGTCTGAGTTTGAAGTCATCAGGTCCAGGACTCAAACCACAGTCGACTACGTGAGAATCCAGTGACGTCACCATTACGCCATCTGCTGGTTCCTATCTTCTTCTTTTCAAGGAGAGCTGAGCCCTTTCCTGATTTCTTCACTGGAAGCGCTCTCATTCATTCTCCTAAACCTAGAGGTGCTACTGCAATCTCTGCTGATAATGGTATGAGATCTTTGAACACCTACTGTCTGCCAAGTACTATGTTTACACTAGCGTGTGTCAGCTACTGTGCAGGAATGTCCCTCACTTTAACTCACACTAAACCATGTCTTCTTCTGGCAGCTTACCCTAATACCACTCTGTCTACTGGCAGAACAAGATACTCCTTTTAAAGTCTCTAAAGCAGATACTTACGTATCGAATTACTGATAATAATATATTACAGTCATTCACTTGGGAACACTTCCGCCATTAGGCTCTAAGTATTTCAAGGGCCAATGAAGCCCTCTATGTCCGAAACACCCAGCATAGTGCCAGGCACAGACACTGGGTTCCAGTGGTCATCGGTAAAAGGGGAAAGCCCCTCCTTTGGGCTACCATACATGCCAGTATTCTTAGCCCTGTCAGCAAGTGGCAGCTAGGTCACAATACCCTTGGCCCTATGAGGCAGAGCACCACTCTACTCAGCATCCACTTGGGGCTTTGTTGCTATGGACTCCTGACAAAGTCCACTGGGCAAAGCCAAGACAACCCCCACCTCCCCTCTCAGTCTGGGCTCATTGGTGGCCAGACCTGTAGTGCTGACAGGTGTGGAATGTTCATCAGACCCGTGCAGCTGGGCCAGCCCAGAGGCTCGTGGCTTCTAGGCCCCAAAGCTGAAGTATCAGGTCACAAACAAGCCGGAACCAAGGGCTCCTCGGGTCAGAGTTGGTGGAGGACGAATAGAGTTATCAGCCATCAAGGCCTCTAGTCCAGATGCTTCCTTCTGCTTTAAGGAAGGCTGGGAGACTGCAAGCGAGGACTACAGGGACTAACCTGGACAAGGCATGCGTGTCTTTGCTGGGCAGGAGCTCTAAGGGCAAGGTCAGTCTCTAGGTTGTGAGATATTTGCTCAGTTACTCACTCCACAAGCATGTATTAATCAGTTCTACAGTAGGAAGTACGCATAATACCACAGCATACAAGTCAAGAGTTAAAGTCCCAGAAATCAGTCTATTTAGGTTCACATCTAGGTACAATTCTAGTTGTACAATTTTCCAAGTTTTATTTATTTTAAGACACCTTAGACAGGATCTCACATGTCACAATCCCTCCTACCGGCTTCTCAGCCAGCCAAAACCATACACACCCCGTGGGAATGTCTAGTGTGTTCCAACCAATCTGGGATCCAAACCCAAGGCTTGCTCTATGGCTTCAGCATCAGGCAGCAGCATCCTCTGCCCCACACCACAGTGGCTGGGCCTCTAGTTGCATGGCTTTTAACATGTTACACAAATTATTTGTGCCTCGGTCTCCCAATACTAAAGCAGGGATAGCAATATGGAAGATTGTAAAGATTAAATGAGAAATGCATTTAAAATGTGTAGCCCGATGTCTGGCATGTCATAAGTGTTCAATAGGGGATCAGCTGGTAGTGTAGTGGTTAAGGCACTGGACATTCCCACATGGCTGCCCATGGTTTGAGTCCCGGATCTGGTGGCTTGCTTTCTCACTTTCCCTCTTTCTCTGTGTCTCTCTCTGGTCAAATTAAAATGAATGAATGAATTAAAAAATAATGTGTTCAACAAATGTTAGGAGCTACTATCATCAATCTCAAGAAGGTATCAGAGAGATTAAGATTTGCTCTCGAAGAGCTCTTAAGAGTGATGGGTAAAATCAGTCTGTTCATTGGGACCAGCAGATGGTGTACTGATTGCATCGCTGGATTCCCATGCAATGGACTGCGGTTCAAGTCCTGGACCCGGCAGCTTAAAATTCATGCTGGGTACGTGTGTGTACGCATGCACACTCAAAATTCTGAGAGGAGAAGGGTGGGGAAGGGAGTGCAGTGTGGCCATCCCCCTTGGGGAGTGATTTCTCACTCTCTGGCTCTCTGTCTCTGTCTCTCCGAGGAACACATCCACTCGGTAGCAAAAAATCTCTCTTAAAAGAAAAAAGAAAATCAGTCTGCTCATAATCTTGGCCAGTGTAGTTTGATCCTGGCAATTGTAATATAGGATATCCAAGCATGAAGTAACATCTACCTGGAGAAGTTAGAGCATTTTCCCAATAATATTGTTCTCATACTTGATCTCTTAAGAATGCCAGGCTGAAGAGAGCCAAGGAACGTTCTATGTGGAAGCAGGAATATGTGAAAGGCATCCCTGGGTATGAATTTGGGACATGTGATAGTACACTCCTGATAAGGTTCTCGTGACATATAAATCAGTTTTATTATCCGTAATGTGGAATGGAAGCCCAGGGAAAGGCTATAGGCAGAGAAGGGACAAAGGTCAAGTTCATTTTCATGTTACAGTTTCTTTTCTCTCCATGGACATGTTCCCCCACCGCAGGCAGTGGAGGATATGACCAACCCAGTGCCCATGTCTCCCACCACGCCAGGCTGTGAATGACTGATAGAAAGATGCACTGCTTCACGAAAGAACCGACAGTTCACTAAGAGGGAACCAATGCCATCATCCAGGAGAGGAAGGAGGTATTTGGAGATTCAGGGAACCTCTCCAAGTCTCTTCTCACCTCTTTTCTGGTGGGTGTCTAGTTAAGTTCTTTACAATGGGATATTCTTTTTTTTTTTTTTTTGTAAGAATTTTTTTTTAATTTTAACTGTATTTTTTGCTTATTTATTTTAATTTGACCAGAGAGGGACAAAGAGTGAGAGAGAGAGAGAAAGAGAAAAAGCAAGCCACCAGGATGAGGACTTGAACTGTGGTTGGCCACATGGGAGTCTAGCATCCTTAACTACCACACCATCTGCCAGCCCCTGGAATATTCTTTTTTATTTTTTTAAAAACTTGTTTATTTAATTTTATTTATTATGTTTTAATTTGACCAGAGACAGAGAGAGGAAAAGTGAGAAAACAAGCTACCAGGTCTGGGATTGAAACTGTGGTCGATCATGTGAGTGTCCACTGCCTTAACCACCACACCACCTGCTGGCACCAACAGTGGGATTTTCTTTAACAGTTAAACACCTGTTTAACCACTTCTGATAGAGCTATCTTGGGAAACTCAGCACTTTGTCAACAGCTCTGAATTTTTCTTCTGGGGTACGATGACCAGTACTTGTGCTAAGCTCTCTGCCCTTGCAGCAGTTCAGAGCTGAAACACCATTCCTTACAGGTTGCCTGTCCAGTAAGTAGGGAGCAAGATCCAGAGACCAATAAAAGTCCTTTGTCCTCCTTAGTCTGTATCCCACACCTCATCCAACGGATCATTTTCTTTTCTCTACCCCATCTCCTTTTCCATATGAAGGAATGTTGACCTGATATATATAAATAATGGTGACCAGGTAAAATAGCTAAATGCAGTCAAGTAACTTCAGAGAAGCATTTGTAATTAATTTCTTCCATGCCCTTAAATCAACAAAAGACATCAACTCATTTTAAAACATTGTGGGGGGACTAGCAGGTGGCATGGTGGTTAAGGCGCTGGACTTCCCCATGTTCAGCCCCAATTCGAGCCCCAGACCTGGTGCCTTGTTTTCTTTCTGTCTGTCTCTCTCTCTATGAGCACACGTGCCCTGTAACAAATTTAAAAATAATAATAGTAATCAATAAAATTAAATAAATAATTATTTTAAAAAACAACTGTTAAACATCTGAAAATAAGTGAAGATAACTGAAGAAAAGGAGGATTGATTCTTGGTGTAACAGGGTATCATCCCAAGGCAACTTCCAAGCAGACATTATTTAATTCATTCAGGATACTCAAGAGTGGAGTTCATAAGAAATGGCGTAAAGATTTCCACCTCCTTTGTGCAGTCTCCCCTTTCATGGTGTGTGGAGCCTATAACCTATTGCTACCTGATAGAATATAGTACTGGTGATGGCATCGGGTGGTTATGAACATTATATAACATTACATGAACATACAGGTGGCATGGTAGTTAATGCACTGGACTCCCACATGGCCGACCATGGTTCAAGTCCCAGATCTGGTAGCTTGCTTTCTCACTTTTCCTCTCTCTTTGTTTCTTTCTGGTGAGTTTGCATGCCCTACAGTAAACTTTAAAAATAATAACAATAATTAATTAAATAATTAATTTTAAAAGACTCTATCTTGTTGGCAGACTCACTGTATAGACTCCCTGCTGGCTTGTTGAAATAAGCAGCCAAAATGGAAAAGCCCACATGGCAAAGAACTATCACTGGCCTCCAGGGAACAGTCATCAAAAAAGCAAGAGTTCTTCAATATAGAGCCATAAGCCAGACTCCAGCTCCCAGAGAGAAAAAGCAAGCCACCAGGATGAGGACTTGAACTGTGGTTGGCCACATGGGAGTCTAGCATCCTTAACTACCACACCATCTGCCAGCCCCTGGAATATTCTTTTTTATTTTTTTAAAAACTTGTTTATTTAATTTTATTTATTATGTTTTAATTTGACCAGAGACAGAGAGAGGAAAAGTGAGAAAACAAGCTACCAGGTCTGGGATTGAAACTGTGGTCGATCATGTGAGTGTCCACTGCCTTAACCACCACACCACCTGCTGGCACCAACAGTGGGATTTTCTTTAACAGTTAAACACCTGTTTAACCACTTCTGATAGAGCTATCTTGGGAAACTCAGCACTTTGTCAACAGCTCTGAATTTTTCTTCTGGGGTACGATGACCAGTACTTGTGCTAAGCTCTCTGCCCTTGCAGCAGTTCAGAGCTGAAACACCATTCCTTACAGGTTGCCTGTCCAGTAAGTAGGGAGCAAGATCCAGAGACCAATAAAAGTCCTTTGTCCTCCTTAGTCTGTATCCCACACCTCATCCAACGGATCATTTTCTTTTCTCTACCCCATCTCCTTTTCCATATGAAGGAATGTTGACCTGATATATATAAATAATGGTGACCAGGTAAAATAGCTAAATGCAGTCAAGTAACTTCAGAGAAGCATTTGTAATTAATTTCTTCCATGCCCTTAAATCAACAAAAGACATCAACTCATTTTAAAACATTGTGGGGGGACTAGCAGGTGGCATGGTGGTTAAGGCGCTGGACTTCCCCATGTTCAGCCCCAATTCGAGCCCCAGACCTGGTGCCTTGTTTTCTTTCTGTCTGTCTCTCTCTCTATGAGCACACGTGCCCTGTAACAAATTTAAAAATAATAATAGTAATCAATAAAATTAAATAAATAATTATTTTAAAAAACAACTGTTAAACATCTGAAAATAAGTGAAGATAACTGAAGAAAAGGAGGATTGATTCTTGGTGTAACAGGGTATCATCCCAAGGCAACTTCCAAGCAGACATTATTTAATTCATTCAGGATACTCAAGAGTGGAGTTCATAAGAAATGGCGTAAAGATTTCCACCTCCTTTGTGCAGTCTCCCCTTTCATGGTGTGTGGAGCCTATAACCTATTGCTACCTGATAGAATATAGTACTGGTGATGGCATCGGGTGGTTATGAACATTATATAACATTACATGAACATACAGGTGGCATGGTAGTTAATGCACTGGACTCCCACATGGCCGACCATGGTTCAAGTCCCAGATCTGGTAGCTTGCTTTCTCACTTTTCCTCTCTCTTTGTTTCTTTCTGGTGAGTTTGCATGCCCTACAGTAAACTTTAAAAATAATAACAATAATTAATTAAATAATTAATTTTAAAAGACTCTATCTTGTTGGCAGACTCACTGTATAGACTCCCTGCTGGCTTGTTGAAATAAGCAGCCAAAATGGAAAAGCCCACATGGCAAAGAACTATCACTGGCCTCCAGGGAACAGTCATCAAAAAAGCAAGAGTTCTTCAATATAGAGCCATAAGCCAGACTCCAGCTCCCAGACTCCAACCTCTCCACAGTGCTACAGCTGGAGAAGATTCAGCAGAAGCCTTATAGAGGAAGCCATGAACAGACCAGGGAGCCCAGCTGCTCTCCCTGCTGTCCTCCCTCCTCTCTCTCCTCTCTCTTCCACACAGGAATCCTGGGGAAATCATCCTCATGCCTTCGCATCACTCACACCCAAAAATAAGGGAACAGAAGAAAAAAACTGCAAAAATCTGATCAGGCTGCTTGAAACCAATTCTCATTACAGTGATTTACATGAATAGGAGCTCAAATCTGCATACCATTAAGTGTTTAAGATTAACTTGTGCAAGTTTTATTTGATTTCAGCCTTAAATTCTTCATAGAAGCTGAGCCTCCACAGTTTTCTCCCTCGAGCCACTGAGCTTTAAAACAAAAATTAAAAGAATTGCCACGTCCAAGGGATATCTTAAAATTCACAAATTTGCTTTGGGGAAAGGGGCCCAATTGCACTTGGGATTGTTCTTCCACACTGAAATGGCTGCTGGTACCAAGATCAATACTCACACAGAAGCTTCTTTGAATAGGAAATAGAATTTTAATAGTAAGCTCTGCAGAGCTCAGGGCAAGAGTTTGCATAATATTCGTAACCCCTGCCAGGTCTGACAGAATGGTGGTTTGGGGGCCCGTTTTCCACAAGTGCAAAGAATTTAATGTGCACTTTCAGATGGAAAGACACCCTGTGTCTGGGATTAAGCCACACCTGTCCAGTAGTCCAGGGTGCCAAAACCTGGAAGGGATGTGTTCATCAGCCAGCCCCTATAAAATCTAATAAGAGGACTTTGCATAAGGACTAAGCATGGCACAGCAGATCTCTTCACCCTGGAAAATGATCGAGAAAAACAGGTTTTATGAGCTGCGCTAGCACACCATGTCTCCGTGTGATTAATCCATCTCAGGAAAACGACTTTAAAAGCCAATTAAAGGCAACTTCACGGAGTTATTTTGCATTGTCTCTTTATTCTGTTTCTGGCGACAATTGTACCTGTCAGTACAGCTGTGAGGAACTATCAATTTTGGCAGCATGAATTTTCAGAGGGGGAAAAATGTTTAAAAAAGGAACCATTGGCCTGGGAGAGATCAGTTGCCCATCTCAGAAAACAAATCCCAGCAGTGGAGATGGAGACCTGGCAGGCTGTGTGGCTTCCAGCTCTGGGTGCTGGTCACCAGGTCCCTTCCCTTTCCTTTCTATGCCCTTCGGTTCCAGAACTCAGGGACACAAAAGCTACCCCTTCTATGCCCAGATCAAGCAAATGCAGTCCTGCCTAGGAGAGAATCTCTGATCACAAGAAGCAACAGCCAGAACAGAAGGAAAAAGGAGCAATGGCTCCTAAAAGGTAAGTCAAATTATTTTCCTGGTTTAAATCAGCAAGCGCTTAGAGGCAAAAGAGCAAATCCTTGTTTCTTTCCTGGCAATGACCTTACTACAGTGGGGCAGGTCATCGGGAAAGTCATGATGTGTTTCCTTATGTTTTTCTATGCAAAAATGTGTCATGACATTCCTGATACATCTTTATGTTTTTTTAATTTGCCATAGAAAACATGCACTCACCAGGATGAGAGAGAGAGAGAGACAGAGCGAGAAACCTATAAATCAGACTCCAGCTCCCTAATCCCAAGCATAACTGGGTTCCCATCCCTCAGGGAGCATGGCCACCCCACAATCTCATCTCCACCATTCTCCTTTTAGGATTTTGGGAAACATGCCTGGCATGTTTCTCAAGCCACCAGGTCTGGGACTTAAACTGCACAGTGGGCCATGTGGGATCCAGCCACGTTAACCACCACGCCACCAGCTGACCCCCACCTTACCTTCCTGTAATCAACTCTTTCATATCCCAGTAGGTAACCAAGCATATTAGTGGGGGCAGGGGGAAGAAAGAAGAAAAGAATATCCTGTAACCTTTCCACTTAATGCTTCTCCCAGACCAACAGGAACTGCCCAATGTAAATCAGTGAGTGAAGAGTTAAACTTAAAAAAAAAAAAGGCAGAGTTTTTTTACCCCACACCCAATCCTGATGTAGGGCCCTATTTCCCAAGGTGGGAACCAAAGTCCAAGACCCATGCTGTCACCAGAGGAAAGTAAACAGTCCCAGGCTTGGGGTGGGGGAAGCTTTGTTCCTTAAGTTACTACTACTTAATGGTGAGTGGCTAGGAGTGGCTCAGATGTCAGAAGGGAAAGGGCAGGATCAGCCCAAGGCTTAGGTTCTGTCACTCCTGTGTGGGTAGGGTTACAAGTGTGTGATGAGGCCTGTCGACCTCTGGTCAGGACACACACTTATCAGTTCACTCTCAAGACTGTGCCAAGCAGTCAGCCTCAGACAGAAGCAATGCTAGAAAATCAAGAGTCCCCTGAACTGCTTTTCTACGAAGAACAGGCATTTTCTAAATGAGAAACAATTCCACTAATGTCAGTCTGTTTCACCAGTGCCATTGTAACCCCATCGCCTTCCCTGCACAAGTTAACTGGTCCTTAAGAGGGCAAAATCTTGGGGCCAGCAGTTGGCGTAATGGCTATGTTGCTGGACTCCCATGTAGTCAACTACAGTTTGAGTCCCTGGACACGGTGGCTTAAATTCATGCCAGGGACGTGTGCATTCCCAAGATCCCAGGAGGAGAAGGGACTGTGGCATGGCCATCCCCCTTGGGGGGTGATTTCTTGCTTTCTGTCTCTGTCTTTCTGGTGAATGCATGCACCCTATAGCAAAAAAACTCTCAAAAAAAAAAAAAAAAAGGCAAAGTCTCTTTTTTTCTTCCTTTTTTTCGTAAAAGATTTTTGCTATCAGGTACATGCACTCACTGGATAGACAGAGAGAAAGAAATCACTCCCCCAGGGGCAATGTCCACACTACAATCCCTTTTCCTCTGTTCTCTTGGGATTTTGGGTGAGCACACATGCGCATGTGCCTGGTATGAGTTTCAAGCCGCTGGGTCCAGAACTTGATCCGCGGTTGACTGTGTGGGAGTCCAACACCTGAACCACTATGCCACCTGCTGGCCCTTAAGGCAATGTCTCAAGCCCAGCCTGTCTTTGCAGGCTCTTCCTAAAGCCTATAGCCCCAGAAAAGCTTCCCTGGGCTCATTTCCTCAATGCCTGGCCCAAAATTGCATCACAAACACCCCTCAGCCCAAACTTGTGTACACGCTGGCTCAAAGACACATGCTTCATCTTCTCTGTTTCTGCAAAGTTCCATCAGGAAGCAGCTACACTGCCAACTTCTTGACAAAGCACCCTAGAGGCCTCCTCCACAGATGAACCTGTTTCCCCTACTCAGCTTCAAAGTATATCTTGTCTCCACTATGGAATTTACTACAATCTCCCACCAGACTAAACCAAGCTTAGCCCCGGACCAGACCACATTCATCTGTCTAAGCCCAGTGCCTGACTTAGGGTCTGGGACACCAGAGACACTGAGG